TTGCAGTTCGCGCCGCGGGGCCTCACCCCACGCGAGCGCTCTCAACCTGTATAAGGAGCTTCCCCATCCCGCCCACTCTCCATCCACTCACTCTAAAGGCTGCTCCCCTCCCCACCCGCACGCGCCGGCGACGCCCTGTCCTCTCTATCCGCCGCCGCCGAGCGCTGAGCTGAGCGCTGAGCTGAGGCGCCGGGGCGTCTAGCGCCTGCTAGCGCCTGTCATGGCGAGGGTAGGCCGCGCGCCCGACACCTGAGCGCGCCGCCGCCCTGCTGCCTACCTCGCAGGCTGACCCCGCACGCCACCCGCACGGCAAAGGCGTCTTGAGATCTATATGACCGCGAGCGGATTTGGATGATTTCAAAGCATATTTTGCTTTCAGAACCAGGTCCTTCCCCGAAGCTCCTCTATTAGTTTGTTGGTTTCAAAGCTGTCTGCTTTGTGCTTTAAGGCGGGAAGCATTGTAGCACCACCACTTGTTTTGTGCGACAAGGACGGCGGACTGCTGGGCTCTGCCTTTCGAACACCTGTGCACAGGGAGATCCCTCTTCACGTGACCTCGCCTCAGCGACGACGACACCCCTGTGATTTGAGCTACAAATCCGAGGGAGCCAGCAAGCAGCCAGGCTTTGGGGCGGGCCCCTCCCCCGCCCTCCCGTCCGGGCCAGACCGGACCGCAGTGCCCGGCACGCCCTCATTCGGTCTCCATTTCCTCCTCCGGCCCGTCGTCTCCATTACCCTTCTGGACGAGACCTCGCATCGCCTCGCCGAGATAGTTAGTGGAGATAGCTCGGGACGAAGGCGAGCGAGCACGTCTTGTCCGCCCCTCCAGCCCCTCCATTTCCCCCAGTTTCCCCATACTCCTTCCCTTTTTGCCACCCATCTCTAAATTCACATTCTTTTTCATTTCTCCCCTTAATTTTCCTATTTTGTGAGGCGATCATTTTAATGCGTTTCCCAAGTTGGTAAACCTAAGGTCTTAAAAGGACCACTTCTTTGCGGTCAACTCTGCAAGGGAAATCTTGATGTATGGGGCGTAAAGAACCCCCCCCCCCTCCAACCAAACACAATTGGTGTGGGTGAATTTTAAAACGTAATATTTATTAGTTTTTGATCCCTAAAAGAAAATGTGTGTAGAAATCAGTTTTGTAATGATCGTAGTACTTCTTTTACTAGTGCCCATGATACCCCTACTCTGTTAAAGGCTTCTGTACTCTGTACTTTGTACATGATGTGTACCTTGCCCAGTACAATGCGAGCCCGAGCAGTCGGTTAATTATTGGCAGTGGCCTGCGTGCACATAAAGGCGTGTGAAGTGTGTGTCTCTGTGTGTGTGTGTGTGTCCTTGTTTGTGGCTAGAGACTGAGAGGAGAGCTGGCGGTCGCGTCGTCGCATGCAGGCGTATACCGTCGTCCATATGCCTCGGCGTATGGCCGTAATAAATTCAATCTTTATTCTCTTCTACCCCACCATTTGTTTTATCTCTCTCTCTCTCGCTTTCTCTACATTTCTCTCTTTTCTCCCTCTCTCTTCCCACTCCTCTTCCTCAACCCTCTCTCCGCCACCTCTTCCTATAAGCCAACTCTTTTAATACCCTTCTTCTGCGGCGAGAAAAAGCAGCGTTTTCTGCCCCAACTCCTAGCCAAACTAACAAGCCGCATCCGAA